TATTAAAATAAATCAGAAACTCATTAACAAGTAAATCGGATATTTCAAAGTTTTAGATTAACCGCTCACTGCAATTTAAATGGCCTATTTTGCTAGGGCTGGCGTACGTATAAAAAAAAATATTAGTCGGCGTTTTTTTTTTTAACTTTATTATATATTATATTTATACTTTTATGAAGTAGTTCATACAAGCAATATCTACTATTAATAAATTTTTTTTATACAACTTAGAATGGCAAACAAGCTGACGGCCCACCTGATGGAAAGTGGTAACTGTCGCCTATAGACGACGCCGTTACCAGAGTAACAGAGATAAAAACAGTACAGCCCACATTAAAAACTACATACTTAATTTTAATATTGTCAATATATTATAATATTTTCACCAGAGGGAGATATTGTACAAAAGTCGTTTGCTTGGGTACTTCTATCCCATTCGTGTTTCTACCGTGAAGCAGTTGTGTTTGCATGGTTGTGTTTCGGTTTGAAGGGTGGTATATGGCAGTGAATTTACAGGGTACAGAGGAATAACACCTGAGTCCTCAGGAATGGCAACGCATGGGGGGTATCATGGGCGAAACAGTATACTCTGTTATGTCCATAGTACTGCTCATGTTTACAGACGACGGCTACCATTTTCCATCAGGTGGGCCGTCAGCTTGTTTGCCATTCTAAGTTGCATAAAAAAATATAAGTAAACTAAAGATTATTAATTTCAAATAATGTTATATATATTTTTTTAAATAACATACGCTACTATATTATTTAATATTGGAAGAGCGACAACCCTGTTCCCTAATTTTATTCCCCAAAAAGTTTCTGAGCGAGCTTTCCTAAGAACGGCACTATTTGTCAAATTTATTGGTTCAATAAGTAGTGGTAGCGAGGCCGTAATGTAGGACATATGGCGTCAATCTGTAAGGGTACTTTCTTACTGGGAGAAAAATTGCCTTAAACATGGATTATAGCTTGACTTAAACATGTATTTATGGTAAAAAACCGAAAAGAGTCTTATGTTTCCAGTCAAACTGTTTATAATTACTCCTCTCCATCAAAAGGTTACCTGGAAGAGATCGCTCTTAGAGATAAGATATCATTGTTTTCTCAGTGTAATATTTTCTTTTAATTGTTTATATTTATAATGAATTTACTATTGTAATCTTATGGAGATTCACCGGAGGGAAACTTTGTACAAAAGTCGATTGCTTGGGTACCTCTGTCCCATTTGTGTTTCAACCGTGAAGCAGTTGTGTTTGCATGACTGTGTTTCGGTTTGAAGTTTTGTTATTAACTTATTGTTGTTACTGTATGTTTTAGTGCAATAAAGAATATATGATTTAATGGATTTTATATCTTAAAGATCGTATCATAGTAATTGATTGATTGTTGGCCGTGTGGTCCCGGCATAGAATGGGCCACACCTTTCTTTCCTGTGGGTGACATAAGAGGAGACTAAGGAACTTAATAGTCGAGGGATGGGCGGCAGCGGTCCTTATATCGTCAAAGTATAACTGCAGCTGCTTCACGGTAGTAACACGAATGGGACAGAGGTACCCAAGCAATCGACTTTTGTACAAAGTCTCCCTCTGGTGAAGATTTAGTGATAAGGCAAATATCCCTTTCAAAATTGAATGTAACGTACATCCAAACAGTGACGGTAGGAAATAATAAATGCTTATAGTTGAATGAGCGCGCTGATTTACCTGCACCCTCTTAATGCAACTTGAGCTCCAAGAGCCCTAATAAAACCACCCCACACAAGGATTCGAAAGGGTGTTCACGACGCGTTCTCGAAATAATTACAGGTACACAGAGATGTGTAATCGTCCCTCAAGGAGACACCCTGTAGATAATAGCTATACAGTATGAGTGTGTATATGAGTTGTAGGCTTTTGTCTCGTTATAAACGTGGGTAGTATCAGAAGTATTATTATTCCGTTCAGCATAAGTACATGCATATATACATATTTGCAGAAGAGGACGGAGTACTTGAGTACATCATTTCAGCCATTATCCGTCCACTGCTGGCCATAAACTTCCCCCATAGACTGCCATAAAGAACGGTCCTGAGCCACCTGCATCCACTGACTCCCTGCAACGCATTTCAGGTCGTCACTCCATTTAGTGGGGGGTCGTCATACACTACGTTTCCCCGTACAGGGTCGCCACTCAAGAACCTTTCTTCTCCATCAGTTGTCGGTTCTTCGAGCTACGTGACCAGCCCATTGCCACTTCAGCTTGCTTATTCTTTGGACTATGTCGGTTATTTTGGTTCTTTTGCGGATATCCTCGTTTCGGATTCTATCACGCAAAGAGACTCCAAGCATAGGCCTCTCCATAACCCGCTGAATAAGTTGAAGCTTTTATTTTGAATCATCGTCATCATACCATCCTTTAACTGTCCACTGCTGAACATAAGCCTCCCCCTTGGGGGTTTTGCCAGTAGTTGCCACGCTTGGCATGCGGCTTGGTAGACGGATTGGGAACCGCAGTTAGGCTTTAGATGTTTTAACAGGAACGCTGGCGCCCGTCCCTCATGCTCCCTTAATCGGCTCTTACGACATCCACGGGTTTAGAAGGGGTAGCCTATTCTATGCTGGAACTACACGGCTATCTAAATATAGTTGAATATATACATACTTGATATGTCTTCATATGGTAACGGTAAGAATACCAGGTGTCGTAAATTCTTTTTATCTTCTTGGTAACTCATACCTCTTAAATGCGATTTGAAGTATTTAACTACGAAACTCAGGTTTTTTTTTTGGTGGATGAAAATGGTATGGTAACCCCGCCTGCGCTAATGGGATACGTTGGCGGAGCACCAGTGAAGGGTGATAGATGAGAATGAAAACAGGCCAGTTAGCCCATCATGATGAATTCATCAGGAATCCTATGAGTAAATAAATAGATTTAAAAACTTTTTTTTCATGCAACTTGGAAAGTGGAAATCGTGACCTATATAGACATGAGTAGTACCATGCACATAACAGAGTATACTGTTTCACCAATGATACTCCCCATGCGTTACCATTCCTGAGGACTCAGGTGTTATTCCTCTGTACCCAGTAAATTCACGCCATATCCCACCCTTCAAACCGAAACACAGCCATGCAAACACAACTGCTTTATGGTTGAAACATGAATGGGTCAGAGGTGCCCAAGCAAACGACTTTTGTACAGTCTCTCTCTGGTACTTAGAAACGTTTAAATTTAGAACACGGAACCATGTGTATATTACTAAATCTTATTCTGAAATAAGCATTACGCTTTGCAAATAAAAACTCGATAAATTTAATATAATTTCAATTTTATATTACATCGGTCTCTTTTATAGCGCTAAATCTACTTGGTAAAGTACTGCGGCCCCCAATTGTCTATAATCCCACTATAGCAGAGACTAGCAGGCGTCTAGACAACGCCAGCAGACGGCAAGTCTACCTGAAATGGAATATACTGATATATGTGGTACGTGCCCCAGGGTACAAATTCAGAGATTGTACGTAATGGGCCGCGCTAGGGGATCGTGCGGTGGTACTGTGTTATGGCTGCAACGACTTATCAGATAGTATCCTTAAATAAATAAATAAATAAATAAATAAATAGTATATTTATATATGGCCACTTATCATGTATGTGTGTGTGTTTATGTGTGTGTGTGTATATGTATGTGTGTGTGTGTATGTATGTATGTGTATATATTATATTTATATGAAATTTTACGTTCAAATGTTTTAATATTGTTTTAATAGTTATCATTGTTGGCTTAAAAAAAAAAACTGCATATCATTCATGTGTTAACACGTTTTAGGGTCAATCAATCTTGTCCGGTGTCTTGTGTATCTATAATTGGCTACGTACATTTTTTATTGTTACCTGTTGTGTTTTCCAAATAAAATAAAATAATATAAAAATAAAAACACTCAATATGTATTATTCGAATATTGATTTTAAAAGAAATATGTTACTCGTTCTGAAATCATAGAAAACAAATGTTCCGAACACAACGGTACCACGCATAGGCATTTCTCTATTTCATTTATATATACAGATGGGCAAAGCACCGGGTTTAAACCCGGTGCTTTGGTAAAAACCCAATAAACACCCATAAACTCCCATAATCACCCAAAAAAATAGGTTTTTACGTATTTTTTTGAAAATATGTAAGTAATACCAATAAATTATTTTTATAAATTGTATTGATCAATTCTACAATATTAAATAAAACGTTAACTAATAATATTTCAGGAAATTTTAAAAATCTATATATAATAAAATGAAAGTAATTAATTTTCAGTGTTTTCATGTTGCAGTTGATCAACATGTTGGCCTTTTGCTTCCCGTAGATACTTTAAAATTTCTTCATAACACCTCGTTCGCACACATGGCCGTATATATTTAAATTCTTGAGCCACTAACAGTCCGAAATACTCATTTCTTTTATCCTCTTCTCCATAAATTAAGCATTTAGAACAGTTTGTTTCTTCTTTCAGTAAATTTTCTTTTACTTTATCCTCGTTTTTTTTCTTTGTTGCGACGACGCTGGGTAAATCATCTGGACACTGGGTCTCACTATCGCCAAATATATTTGGAGATCGGCTTTGGCTACGGCTTGGCAGACATTTTTTTCTTTCTACAATTTTAAATTAAATTTATTAGAATAAATGCTTCGAACACACGCGATCTAAGTACCTTTTGTGTTTATTATACCTTACCTACCTAGGTATAAAAAGAGTACTTACGTAGATTTTCTTTTATTAACTGTTTTATACGAAGATCTTGATCTCTCAAATTAGCATCCATTTTACTTCCAGTGATTATCAACTAAATTAATAATCCACAAAGTATTAAATAACGTTTTTATGAAATATTTAGCACAAAAACAATACCCTTTAAATATCGATCGTCAGTAACTGTGGCTGACTTACCTATATTCTAGCAAGCAGGACTGCCAGATGTGAAGGGGAAATCCCCAATAAATTGTTGCATGTGACTGATGATGTGAGCATGTTCGTTTCATAATAAAAATGTTGCCAGGTAACCAAAAAGTCGTATGTTTTTATGCGAATTACGATCATAATCTTTACGATCGTACATTAAAAAATAGACAAATAATAGTATGAGTACGATTTAAATCGTATATCTGTCAACCCTGCTAGCAAGACAGCGACAAAATCACGTTGCATAACAATGTAGCCCAAGCTTATATCTTATGAAATATACGGAAGAGATACGGACTTAGAAAAAACAGAAATGTTGTTCTTTGTGGAAGTCATTGATGAAATTCTATGTATTTTAGCCCGCAAACTTTCTTCAAACAAAAACAGCGCCATCTAGTATCGAGTTCTGTAATTATCTCTTTGTTTATGGATTTGAAGTAAGACCGCCACGCATGCAATACATTATGACTGGGGATTCCCCTATTCGTCGACGCTGAATATGAGGCGACGACAATCACTGTCAAACGTGTTCACTATTACTCTGACTCTGGTAACGTGACTTCCTGGTAACGTGTTAGGTAGGAAAAGCAGTAAAAAAGTGCATATTAAGGGAGCAGATTTGAAATAATATTTATACTTAACAAGAAATAATTAAAGGTAAGTGGATTTTTGAATGATACAATTATATCATGATCACTTAACAATTTTAACTTAAAATTAGATGTATTATTACAAGCTTTTATTTAGCTTGCGTTATGTAAATAAAAGTATGTAGGTATGTTCGTATGTTGATGCAATTATCCTCAATCCTCAACCGACTGGGATAAAATTTTCCATACACGTTTATTTTGGATGATAGTGCATAGTTAGCTGAGAGTCGTCATTGGATAATAATGGTGGATAGCCTAAGATGTGTACTAGATATTTATTTTTAACATAATATGCGTAAGTACCTAATCGAATTAAAGAAGTTGCTGAGAAAAATACAGAACAATACGATAATAAACTAGCGTCTGCGTTTAATCCTCCGAGGAGATGTAATTTTACAAAGGTTTTTTGTATTTATTTTATTATTTTTTTAATAAATTTATTGTAAATAACAAGAAATAATCATTGTAAAAAAATAGGCACTCTATTGTTGAATTTTCGTCAGACCAACTAATCATCGTTCATTTTTTTAGGTTCAATGGGGAGACCTAAAGATTTACGCATATGGGAGCACTACCGTACTTTACCAAACAAGTCTGTTTCTTGCAAGCTTTGTAATAAGGTCTACAAATTCAGTAATGCTGCCAAAATGCTTCAACATCTTATCACTTGTCCAAAATCTCCAGAAACATTAAAAGACTCTATGAAACTTATAAAAGATAGCTCGTCCAAAACCAAAATGTCTGGACTGTCAGATATAGAGACAAATTATTCTTTTATAAGCCCCTCGTCGTCTGCTAACACTACAATAAATGCTGAGTTTCAAGACACCGATGATCATATAAAAACAGAATTAGCGAGAGCTATATTTGTAACAGGGACGCCATTATCGATGGTGCAACATCCTTTATGGATACAATTTTTCGAAAAATTGCAACCAAAATTTAAAATACCTTCACGTAAAGCTTTAGCGACAAAATACTTAGATAAAATATATAGAGAAATGCGTTTTGAGTTAAATGAGGAACTAAATGCTTGTAGTTACTTACACCTTCAGTGCGATGGCTGGTCTAATTTAAGAAATGAAGGAATAATAAACTTTCTTATATCAAAACCTCAACCTGCATACGTTAAAAGTTTGAATACAGAAAGTAATCCTCACACTAGTGAATACCTTAGCCAAGAAGTTGAAAAAGTAATGAAAGTGTATGGAGCAAATAAGTTTCTTGTACTTATTGGCGATAACGCTAGAAATATACAAAAGGCATTCGAATTAACAAAACTCAAATATCCACATGTTGTTCCTCTCGGTTGCTGTGCACATATCCTTAACTTGTTGTGCCAAGATATTGTAAAGATACAAGAAGTAACTGTGTTTATTATGCAAGCCATAAATATAATAAAAACTGTTAAAAGGAGTCAACGATTAAGTTCCTTGTTGATAAAATCAAGGCAGGGTGAAGATTCTACACAAACACTAAAATTGCCTTGTGCTACAAGATGGGAAGTCATGTTATTTCGTTAAAAAGTTTGAAAGCAAATAAGATAGCTTTGCAAATATTAACAGTTAGAGAAGATGTGGTAATTTCAAGAGATATTAAAGATTTAATTCTAAGTGATGATTTCTGGACGAAGACAGGGGAATGTATAAGTATTTTGGAACCAGTCACTGAAAGCATATTTTACTTAGAGAGCGACCAGAATCGTTTGCATCGCACATACATTACATTTAGAGATGTACAAGCTAAGATACGTTTTGCATTAAATGAGATTTCGACATTGAGCGAAGAAAGCAAACAGCAGATTCTAACATCAGTATCTTCAAGATGCAATATGGCAATGAGGCCAATACATTTTGCAGCATATATTCTAGACCCCAGGACTCTAGGAGTCGAACTTACTCAAGAGGAAGAACTTAAGGGTATGGAGTTTATCTACAATTTAAGCCAACACTTAAGTTTGTCAAATGTAATGGCAGATTTGGCGTGTTATAAAGCTAAAGAAAACTTTTGGGCCAGAGGATTTGTATGGAGCTCATTAGATAGCATTGAGCCCCTAATATGGTGGAAAGGTATTTGTGGTTCCACTGAGTTAAGCAAAGTAGCGATTCGTATTCTATCAGCTCCCTGTACTTCGGCAGCCACTGAGCGTTCCTTTAGTATCCAAGGCTACATACATAATAACAAAAGAAATCGACTTACAACTGAAAGAACTGAAAAAATTTCATTCATTTGTTATAACTGGAATCTTAAACATAAAGCTGAATGCGAGGACATTCAGTTTAATGAAGAAAATACCTTAGAAGCTTTCATTGAGCAAGTAAATGAACATAACAGTTTAGACGAAATAGAGCCTATCGAACCTATACAATTCATCGCTTGTAATAACTCTGAATCTGACAGTGATTGACTGTAGTTTTACATTTTACTTTCATCTCTTTCTTAATAAACTCAAAATCAAATTAAAAGTTTTTTATTCTGTAGGCTGCATAATAATATTGTCTATGTCCAGTATAGTGGACGTCTTGCGGCTGAGATGACGATGATGAAGTACAAAATCATAAACACCCAAAAATTTGGGTGTTTATGGGGTTTAAACCCAATAAACCCAAAACACCCGGTTTTTACCCACCAGACTTTAAACCCACCCAGGTGGATTGCCCATCTCTATTTATATATCACACTAACTGACTCTATGTATATATTGGCTTATTTAAGAATTTATTAAATATTGATTATCTAATATTGAAATGACGAATACAATCAAAATTTATATATATATATATATTAGTTTGACTATGTATGTATATATATAAATAAATAAAATCTTATTCACTTTTTTATTAAAGTGAATAAGTTTTCATTATTATATAAAAATTATTCAATTATTACTTAAATAAATAGAAGCAAGGTAAAGAGGCAATAATGGGCGACCTTGTCGTTAAATAGTTTAACTTTTCCAGGCAACCGTAGAATCAAGAGGAATGAATAGAATTGTGTCTGGTCAAAGCGTAGCGGAAATTTAATAAGACTAAAAAAAGGAGAAAAAAGGGGTCAAAATAAATATGCTGAATTTTTTTCTGCAATCAATATTTATAGTTACTTGGTATATTAATATCGGAGCAGTATCTATGTCTAATTCAGAAAAACTACGCGCACGAAGTCGCGAGCAAAAGTTAGTGTTTATCAAAACTTATACAAACAAAGATACAAAATTATTCAAATATTTATAGTTACCGGGTACCGAGGAATAACATTGAATCCTCGGGAATGGCAACGCATGGGGGGTATCATCGGCGAAACAGTATACTCTGTTATGTCTATGATACTGCTCATGTCTATAGGCGACGGTTACCACTTTTTATCAGGTGGGCCGTCACCTTGTTTGCCATTCTAAGTTACATAAATTTTTTTTTCAACCTTACACTATTTTGGTGTGAAAGCCTTTAATAGCAAATGAACTATCGGCTAGTGACTTTCCCTGGCGTCGTGTCCACAAGGTGAACAAAACGTTCGTTGTCTAGACTTGGACTCAGTCTAGACTCCATCAGCTGGCGCCAAGTTCTGTCTTAATAATAACTTAATGTATGTAGATATAAATATCTCTAACGGCTCACAGCTTTATATAGATTTCTTTTGTCACAGACGTTAGGGGTCCGATTTCAAACCGAAAGTCCGAAAAATTTGTTATTCTTCTCCATTCAAAGGTTGTCCGGAAAATATCGTGTTTTAGCGATAAGACCGCCCATTGTTGCCTCTTCGATATTTCTTTAGCTAATTCTATGCCGGGACCATATGGTATGCATAATTGATTTTATTTGACGTACCGCTTATAATTTCTCGTGCATCCTGTATAAACTATATTAAGTATAAAATAATTATCAAAATCGATTCAGCGATAGAACTGTGTAACATAGCCACAAAAATAGAGACGAACTAAAAAGTTCCTTTTGGAAGAAGCTTGTAAAGAAAGCTACGTTGAAAATACTTTAAGTTTGTTCATTCCATAATCTTTCCAAAGGTGTCTGTAATTTAAGTTCAACATTATTTATATCCATGGCTAAATTTAATATGGATGTCGTGAAAAGAATTCTATGTGTTTAAAACAAAGTTCAGTTTCGAACCTCGCTGGCCGTTTCTGAGATATTTTCGTTTTACATAATTTGTGAGACGACAGATGTTGATTGTGTTTTTTTTTCAGGCTGTTATGAAATAAAAACGGTCAAGGGTATATAGAACAGACGTTAGTAAGTAAATAACTAAGTTTTTAGAAAAAAATACTTGTTTAAGTCTAATCAATTTTTTTACTGATTTCAAACTAGAAGGTTATCAATTCGATTATATTATTTTTGTGTATGACTTTAGAATGTTATTTTTATTCGGTTTGAAAAATTCTTATTATTGATCTTCAGATTGCTTCCATAGAAATGTTATGTAAATCAGTTCAGTATTTTAGTATTAGTAATGTATTATTTATTTATTTCTGTACTGCTTCCTACAGGACAGGCTCGGCCTAGTGTAGGAAGCAGTGATAAATTCTGTGCTAATACAAACATACTTTGTTAAATAAATAAATAAATATCTTATCTTATCTTACTTATTTAATTTAAATCGAAATAACTATTTATGTCACAGTTGAAGTCAGTTATTTTTTTTTTTATCACCCCTCTATTATGATGGTGAAATGAGCCATTAACTGCTCATTGCAGAACGTAGGCCTCCCCCTTAGTCTTAAATTTGCCAGTAGTTGCCACGCTTGGCTGACGGGTTGACAACTACAGTAAGGCTTTGGTGTCGTTTCAAGAGGGACGCTGCTACCCATTTTTCCACCATTAAATTCCCACAGTCACCTCTGACGATACCCACGAGAAACTATCATTATCTAACTCTATTACTAGTATACTTTAACCTCTATTATATATTACAAAATTATTTTATCTGGAAAAAGATCTTAAATTATTATGAGTAAACAGTTGTAATATTTGACTGAATTAGATGTTTTTTTTTATTTTTTTTATACAACTTAGAATGGCAAACAAACTGACGGCCCACCTGATGGAAAGTGGTAACCGTCACCTATACACATGAGCAGTACCATGGACATAACAGAGTATATTTTTTCGCCCATGATACCCCCCATGCGTTGCCATTCCTGAGGACTCAGGTGTTATTCCTCTGTACCCTGTAAATACACGCCATATCCAATTTTAATGAAATAACCAGCTATTGAAGCTCATAACATGATTTTTGTGTAACATACAAATTGACTACTTCTAAACTCTTGATATTACGCATAAAGACTCAAAATAAATTCAACGCTCAAAAAACTATTGAATGTTCTTTTATTCGACCATTTTGAGCTTTAAACTCGCTAAGTTGACATATTAAATCAAATTTGAATGGAATTCCATTTAAATTCAAACCGCACAAGGATCGACTTTCGAAATGTGGATAATTTCTGAAATTTGCAATTTGCTTGTAATGTAGTTGTACAAACACGTCTGCGAAGTTAAAAGTTTCTAAAATTCTCAACTAAAATTGAACGAATCATATAAAATGAATGATTATTGCGGTATTCGTTTGGAATATTTTTGTATAAATTATATTACGTATAGTGATGTTTAAAACTAATCGTCTACCCTTCATCATCATCATCATATCAGCCATTATATGTTCACTGCTAAATACAGGCCGCTATTGGGAAATTTTGTCATTAGTGGATTAGCTTTAGTGTTGTTTTAAAAGGGTTGCTGCTGCCCATCCCTCGAATATTATTACTTCCCCATGAGAGGAGTTTTGCTAGTAGTTGCCACGCTTGGCAGGCAAGTTGGCAACCGCAGTTAGGTTTTTAGAGATGTTTTGAGAGGGACGCTGCTGCCCATTTCTCGAACATTATTTTATTACTTTCCCATAAAGGGAGTTTTGCTAGTAGTTGCCACGCTTGGCAGGCTAGGGCAGGCGGGTTGGCAACAGCAATTAGGTTTTTAGAGATGTTTTAAGAGGGATGCTGCTGCCCATCTCTCGGACATAAGTTCTCTATGACACTCACGAGAAAGGAAGTCGTGACCTATTCTGTCTGGATCACACGGCCCATTTCAATATTGGCTCTTTATTAATTTTATGACTATTGAACCTGTTTTTTTTTTTTTAATAGAGAGAATAATTGTTTATTGCGAAGCATAATCTACTTATCGATATAATTTGTACTAAATTGAGTTATTTTCACTACAATACGTCTACGAGACATCTCGTTTATCGGAGTGTTTGTCAGATTTGAAGTAGCAGTTGTTTGTGCGGAGCCACATCAAGTACATTTCGGGTCTAGCTCTCACTGTATCTATCCACTACAATTCATATATGTGGCACTTAAGATGTCTACAATTTCTTTTTTATTTTCGAAATATTTCTAAAAGCAGCTATTTCGTAGTACAGATTGTACTAACTTATAAATTAAATAATTTTATATTAAAGTAGGTACTATAGAAAGTATTTTACTAGAAAGAGACTTTGTATAAAAGTTGTCTGCTTAAGTACCTTTGTTCCATTCGTGTTTCTGCTGTGAAGCTGTTGTGTTTGCATGGCTGTGTTTCGGTTTGAAGGGTGGGCAATGAAATTATAGAGTTTTTTTTTTATACAACTTATAATGGCAAACAAGCTGACGGCCCACCTGATGGAAAGTGGTAACCGTCGTCTATAGACATGAGCTGTAACATGGACATAACAGAGTATATTATTTCGCCCATGATACCCCCCATGCGTTGCCATTCCTGAGGACTCAGATGTTATTGCTGTGTATCCAGTAAATTCACGCCACATCCCACCCTTCAAACCGAAACGCAGCCATGCAAACACAACTGCTTCACGGTTGAAACACGAATAGGACAGAGGTACCCAAGCAATCGACTTTTGTACAAAGTCTCCCTCTGGTATATATAGTACAGTATAGAGACATAACAATTTAGACCTCAGGAAGGGCAACGTATGAAGGATATAATGGCCGACACATTATACTTTATTATGTCCATGGTACTGTCCATATCTATAGGCAACGGTTACCACTTTCCATCAGATGGGATATCAACTTGTTTGCCATTCAGAGTTGCATAAAAAAAAATCTAAAACGACAATTTGTTACTTGGCGTAAAGAGTAACGCGGCAGTTTGTGACAGAAGTAACCCAATGGGAAAGGAATAGAGCATCAATCAATCTGTTTTAACGACCGGACATCTGTACTGGTAGTTTTTACCACAACACTGATGGATCTAAGTGATCGATACCTCGCCAAGTGGACCCTTGTCGTTTCCATTTTTTTATATAACTAAGTAGGTTTCTATAAATTTGCTGTAAATTGTCATGATGATAATTTATTTAAAAAGAAAAAATAAAATTATTTTACAATACAATTCACAACTGAATTACTTATACTTATTATTTATTTGTTATATGTTACAATACCAGAGGGAGACTTTGTACAAAAGTCGATTGCTTGGGTACCTCTGCTCCATTCGTGTTTCAACCGTGAAGCAGTTGTGTTTGCATGGCTGTGTTTCGGTTTGAAGGGTGGGATATGGCGTGAATTTACTGGGTACAGAGGAAAAACACCTGAGTGCTCAGGAATGGCAACGCATGGGGTTATCATGGGCGAAACAGTATACTCTGTTATGTCCATGGTACTGCTCATGTCTATAGGCGACGGTTATCACTTTCCATCAGGTAAGCCGTCAGCTTGTT